ATCACTAAGATACTTGATGTCCTGTCCAGCCACACGCCTCTGCTAGTTTTCTCAATGATCACAAACACACAAACCTAATCATCATCTTGACGTGTGTCATGTGCATCTTATATTCAGCCAGCAGCATGGCAGAGCAGCTCATCAGCTGTTTTCTAGGATGTTCAATTCAGCATAAGTGAAGTTGAGCAAAAACAACTGGGGTGATTGTTTGAAGGGCACTAAGCCCATTTATTCATCTGAATACCCCAAATACATTACTCGATTAAGTTGGATGAGCAGAAAATGAGGGCAAAAGTCCTTCGGGGTTGTTTGGGATGATATCCTTTGATCTGTTATGAAACATCTCATGAGAAGTGTGTTTTTTGGTTGTTGGTCTTAGCAGATTGTTTCATGTAATTTTAAAAATGATGCTTGCTCCTTGCCCAGTGCCTCGGGCCCGCACTATGCTCCAAGATCAGCCTCTAGCAATGGCTGTCTTACTCAGCCCTCATGGCCAAGCTGCCCTGGTCTCACTCAGCTCCGTCAAACCGTCAAATCACCAGCTCTGAGGCTTTTCCCATAAATGCCAGGAACTGTGCTCCCTCTCTGATAGCCAACCACCCCGCAGCTAGCTCCACCAATGTCTTCCCTGGCTGTTCCTTTTCTCCTTCCCACCTGAGTCTGCACAAATGGAAAACACCAGATAGTTCGAACGCTTTAAAATCAGCCCAATAACACAACTGTTGGGTGTAGAATTTATTGCCCTAGACTCATCAGCTGTCCTATATCAGAATTCCGCCGGTGGCTGAGGCCACCACCTGTTCTAGTTGCCCCAAGGCCTTACATGGCATCCATCTTCCATTCCCCAAGGCCTGCCCAAAAAGTCTTCTCTTCATCTCATCCCTTCCTCTTCCACCTGGGACCCGGAAATCTCACCTTTTTCTCTTTGCCCAGTGATTGGCTTCCACCATCTTTATTGACCCAATCAAGAACCAATTAGGGAAACAATACCTTCATTTACAGCAGACTGTAAAGTAAAAATCAATAGTGGGGCTGGTGAGATGGCTCAGTGGTAAATGTGCTTGCAGTACAGGCCTAGTGATCTAAGTTTGGTCCCTGGTACCCATGTACACCTATGAACAGAGAACTGACTCTACAAAGTTGTCCTGTGGCCTTCTTGCATACACTGTGGCACGTAGATACACTCACGCACACACCACGTACACAATAATTAAAAAACAAACTGAAAAGGCAACAGGCAGTTTGTCTGTAGAACTGGGGGCTCACCTTGAGTAGACACGTGGGTCATGGCTTTGGTTGGCCACCATCTTTGCTTCTGTGTTTTCTATATACCATATTGCTATTGAATTTTAAGCTGTTATTTTTTTGTTACACATTCTTAAGTGATTGGCTTGGAAATGACCGAAATCAGCAAGCCCATTTTCCTGGGTTCTGATTGGAATCTGGCGGGCTTTTCACTCTGAAGACTGACATCTTACTCTGGGTGAGAAGAAGTCCTGTGCATTTGATCGTTTCCTCTTGTTTACTTTCTACATTCTCTTCTTGGTTTTCTTTTGCAAAATTTCCTTCATCTTAAAATTTTGATATACATTTAAATCAAGTTTTTTCAATTATATCTGTTCTAGTTCATCCATTAGATGTATATTCCAGAGGGCTGGGGAGGTGGGTCAACACTTAAGAATACTGGTTGCTCTTGTAGAGGACCTGGGTTTGATTTCCAGCACCCACACGGTGGCTCACAACTGTAACTCCAGTTCCCAAGGACCTGATGCCCTCTTCCAGCCTTTGTAAGCTTCTGCATGTGGATGGTACACATAAACTCACACCAGTGCATGCACACATACATATAAAAGAGTAAAGGTTTTTTTCCAGGTTCTTTATCTTTTCTTTTTTTTTCTCTTTCCTTTCATTGTTCATATTGTCCTGCTTTTGTTTCATTAATATCATGTGTGCCCGCATATATTTAAGGCACTAAGTAGAATTAAAAAGAAAACTCGGCTTATTCACCCACCTTCCCAGCATCCTCTCTTTCCCTTGGAAGATGCTTTTGAAGTGGTAATATATCATTCAAACCTAGATCCTTTCTGCCACTGCTGAAGTTGGTACCTGAGACCTTATGTATACTGGGTAAGGTATCTACTGTTCAGTTACATTCCCAGTTGCAAACAGAGACACTTTGAGAACAAAAAAGGTCCCTGATAATTACCTTGCAAACACGATCCGTGCAAAATGGCACGGTCACTGTTCGTAACACGCTCTCAACCCTTGTACCTCTGTCTGGATCTGAGCTTGCCCTTGGCCTCCATGGGAGGAACGCTCTTCTCATGTGATTGGCTGGAGTTGCTTCTGTTTTTTTTCACATTGACTCCTCCTGCTTTCTAGTTTATTATCTAAACTTTCCTCAAAATTAATGGCCTTCTCCTGACAATATTTTTCCTCTTCTGCACATATTTTCCGTAACTTCATCGGGACATGAGAAGGCATCTGTTTGCCATCTTAATTTCTTTACATCTTTTATTAACACATGTTGACCTACTCTCTTTGGAGCCAGAAAAACTTGGTGATTAATTATAGAGGTGTGGGGTGCTTCTGTAAATCCTACACCCTCTGGTTACCATATCTGGAAAAAGCTCAGGAAACAAGAACTATTCAAGTTTAAATCATTGCATGTCAGAGAAGACACTCCCAATGGGAATTCTTATAGGGGATTTGTGTCTAGCTTCCTCTTCCAGGATAGGACTATTCTGTTGTACACCATAGCAACATATGGAAGAAAGCTGATTTTTGCAAAGATAATTGAGGCCTAGTGTAGCCTAGCTAAGGGCAGAGAACTGTAAAGGTTTAGAGTCAAAGCTAGGATATTTTAGAATTTAATGAAAAGATTCCAAAATCTGCCAGAATTAATTCATGAAAACTTAGTTGATAAAGACAATAATCACCAAAAATACAGGCACAATGATTAAGACTCAATCCCAAGGATGTAGAAGCAAGAAAAGGGCTTCCTGGATCTAACCAGGTCTTGTGTGAGATCAGTATTTGATTATTTAGGGAGAGCTGGTGGGAATCTATTAGAATACAACTATGGAAGACATATATGGCTCAGCCAGTGAAGGCACTTGCCACACAGACTTGGTGGCCTGAGTTTGATCCCTGAACCCATGTAAAGGTAGGAGAAGAGAGTGCACAGCACTGTCCCCCAACCTCCAGAGTTATGCTGTGCAATACAGCTGTCTCCTCATACCATACACTCACATGCAGAATATTAATAAGATTTAAAATATTTTAGAATGTGTCTATCTATAATTCTAGGTGGATAATTCCTTCTTGGTTTGTAGGGTCAAGGTTGTGGTATTGGAATAAGTACAGTTTGCTGCAGAACTATAGAATTGTGCCCTTGGATGTGGACTCTGAAGATGACGGTCCTTTGGGTATGCATTATATAAGCCGAGGGCCAATAACCATTCCAATGTGTACATTCAGTTTTTCACTTAGAGCTGAAGCCTCTAAGTCTCTTGCAGTATGTTAATGGCCCAGGTTATTTCTCGACATTTGGAAAGAGCCCTTCGCACCCCCTCACAATAATACCCACTACTGTTGATTTTTTTTTTTTTTGTGACAGAGTGATTTCTTTTTTTCTCTTTCTTGATTTGTGTTAAGGTGATAATTTATCTCTCTGTTAGTGAGATGAGCCAATTAAAGCCAGATTAGATTATATATTAAAGGCAGGTTTATTGAGAAGCTACTCTCAGGCGGGTGAGTTCACTGGCCTCAAGGAGGGAAGGAAGAGAGAGGCGAGGGGGAAAAGAGAGAAAGAGTGCAGGGGGAGGGAGAGAGAGTGAGAGAGAGAAAGAGAGAATCAAAGTGTCTGGATTAGATAGGGAAGAGCCTCTGTGGGAAGGGCAGCCCAGACCCTGGGCTGGAAAGTTCAAGTTGGGGAAGGGTATGCCAGGTAGGGACTGAGGGATGCTAGGAAAACCTGGAAGCGAGGTCTGCTTTGGTATGTGAGGTATGTACCTCACTCCTTTGTCCTGGGATCCAAAACCAGACAGTGGGGTGAGCCAAAGGAGAGTTCTGAGGGAATATCGTTTTTACAGTTTGTGATGTCTGGCATGGGGTGCCATTAAGTATGCTTCTTTCCTTCTTCAGCACTCATGTCTTGTTGCCTTCCTTGAAAGCATTCTTCTCTTCCTTAAGAACCTGCCTCTTCCTCTATACCTACTAAATTTGAAACTTTGTCACTTTCAGAGAACTATGGAGTCTAGGGACCCTCAAGCCAGATGTTTGGGTCATTTACCATGCAAGCCCACTGTTGACCTCTGGCAGTTACTTTGCAGACTCCCCCAGAGCTTTCATTATTTGATCTCAAGCTCTTGATATTGTCTGTAGCAGCTTTCTGGTAAGCACAAGACCAGAGCATGCCATCTTACTACAGCGGATACATGGTCAGTGTTCTTGGAACCATCTTCTCTTTGACAATTTTAATTTCTGCATTGTCACAAATTTAGGCTGGTCTGCTTATTTATTGTGTGTGCTGCTATATATACTTCTTTCAGAAGAGATTTATCTCATTGGCTACACCTACCGAAGGCTCTTAATCACGTGACATGCCTTTTAGAAATACTACCTTTTGGTCTGTGGACATAAAGCATAAGGTCAGTGACTTAACTGACACTACAGATATGATTTTATTTGGCTGAGATGTAGTGTGTGTGTGTGTGTTGAAGAAAATCATTTTCAAGTTATGTTTGGCTTTTACTGAGTCTTTCTCTTTTAGAAATGACATGAAGTTAAGAGAAAGGGCTGTAGGCTTTGATTTTTTTTAAAACCTACTTTTAGTAAACCAGAAATTTTCACTTCAAAGGGTCTGAGTTGATGTACACTAGAAGAACTAGAAGAACTTCACAGAAATCAAAGTGATTCCAGTGAAGTCACTTTTACAAGTTATACCTGTTTCTGAGGGTTTAACATTGAAACTCATTCCTTATTTTTCTTTCTTTTAGAAGTGGAGCGGGTGGTGAAAGCCAATGACCGTGACTACAACGAGAAGTTCCAGTATGCGGTGAGTGAGTACCCAGCACAGCATGTTGGGGGCGGCTTTACTCAGAGCCAGTGGTAGGATTCATGCCTTCATAGAACCTCACGGCAATGAGAAGCTTTCCTTGTCGGTCAGTCTTAAAACGCTGCCTGTACCATGTGCTTTTACATGTACTTCTCCTCTGTTCTAACAGCTCGGTGGGCAGGGGAAGATAATAGAATACATTCTTTCTCAAGAATTTATGCATAGGTCATTTTGATGTCCACTTAGGTAGTAAAATGTCCTGGAAAAGTACTAGAATAGGCTATTAACATATCGGTTGATGAGAAAATGAGGGTGAATTTGAGCATTTTCTCTAAGCAACTTTTGGGAAATGTGGAAAAACATATGCAGGATGAGGTTCCTAATGCTGAATGACTGTTTATAAAGCAGGCAGTGAGAACCATTAGTTCAAATGTTCACGCAGATGTTGTCCATGGAGGGAGAGTTTTGGTCAAAGAACACTAGTATTTTGTCTCTATTGGCAGGTCATTGGCAGAGTATTTCAGTGCACCAACACTGCAATTCAGTGCTGTGGAACACTTAGCAGAGGTCCCCACCAGCTCTTCTTTCATCCTGTGTGGTAGCCATATAGACCTGCAATTGGTTTCCATTCAGAGTCTGGAACTTGTTTCTCTGACTGGTTTCTCACCGTGAAAGAATGTATTGAGACTCTAACTTTATTCATCAATCTTGTGTCTGTCTGTCTTTCTGTCTAGGTCAGAGGACAATTTGTGAAAGCTTGCTCTCTCCTTCCATCTTGCAGGTCTCTGGGAGAACTCAGGTTGTTAGGCCCTGTGGCAGGTGCCTTTACCCACTGAGCTATCCATATTTATATATTTTAAAATTTTGGGGGAAAATCTGTTATATATAACTTTTTGTGGGGATAACTATGTATTTAAGTAACTAGCTGCATTTAATTGGGCCAGTGTTTAACAAGTACTTTTACTCTGTGAGTATAAGCAAAGCCATATTTTGTAAGATTACACAGCTTTTTTCTCTGTTTTTTTAAAAATGTAACCTATGAGGTATTTCAATCATAAATGTATGGAAGAAAACATGACCCTCTTGAACCCACCACCCAGGCAGAGTAAGCATTAACAGTTTGCCATACATGTTTCAGATCTGTCCTTTAAAGCCAATAGCATATTAATGATGCAGTAAGGATATGAACAAAAACTACAAATGAGTGGCTATGCTTTTTGTTGGTTTCTACTAGCACCAAGGTGTTATAACAGTAACCTGGGGCCTGAGCACAGTCTATATGGCTGTTTTGGACTGAAGATGTATCAAGGAGAAGCAAAATCCATTAAGCTGGCAGAGCTAAGGACAACAGAAACTTGCAGTGAGAAGCTGCAAGTGTGGGTCATAGAGATTCATCTCTAGTGGGCAGTGATACAGCGTGGAGGGGCCTGAGGCGGCTGGCCTTTACTGGGCTCTCCAGCAGAATGTGAGCTGTAGCTCTCTCAGTCTCACTGGGGCTAATTAAGGGCAATGACTTCATAGAGCCATTGTGAGGGCTAAGGCATGAAAGTACATAGTGACTAGGAGTTAGTCTCTGTACACGTAGGGTTGAACCTATGATTGTTTACTAACTGGAATACCCCTTTAAGGTAGGCAACTCCCTTAGGTGTTTTCTCAATCTTGCCCAGCTTTAATGGAAATGTATTTGGAGGGATCCCAGGAAAAATGAACATATTTATTAGAGAGACATTCCTACCAAAACACAGAGAAGAAAACAATAATAAACTCAGTCCTTTTATGGGAGAGATGAAAGAAGAATTCTCAAGTGTGGTGGAAAGAGCGCCTGGGGCTAAGACGGGAACTATAGTTTGAACCTTTTCTCTCAGGACTAGCTTGTGATCTGATTGGTTTATTCCTCTGAGAATCATATATTTCACCTACAACTTGTGAGGAACTTTCTGTTAGGGTTGCTTACTGAAGGATCAAATTAGATAATTTTAACAAAATATTTGACAATAATAACAATCATATCTATTACAGTGGTTCTCAACTTTTCTAATACTGTGTCCCTTCAATACGGTACCTCGTGTTGTGGTGACACCCAATTATAAGGTATTTTCATTGCTACTTCATAACTGTAATTTTGCTACTGTTATGAATTATAATGTAAATATCTGTGTTTTCCAATAGTTTTAGGTGACCACTGTGAAAGAGTTGTTCAACCCCAAATGGGTCTTGACCCACAGGTTGAGGACTACTGGTCTATCAGATGCTTCTTGTGAACCATCTTTAATTATGGATTTTTCTCTTAAACCTGATGGATCTGTGGGCAGGTTCCACCGTGAGTTTGAGAGTCTCTATAGGGCAGTGATAGGGTATGCTATCACAGTGGTGGTAAGAAAATACATAGGCTTGTGAACTACTTACAGCAGATATCATGTTCCATGATGAAAAACCATGAGATGCCAAAAGTCTCATGACAAACTGTGCACTATACAGTTGTGGAGAAGGAAGGGTATTGTATGACAAGAGAACAGTGTCTGTGGGTGTGGAGCTTCCTCCTTAGATGAGCCAATCTGAAAGAATGCTAACCCAATGAAGTACTTGCCAGCTTCCTGTTCTATTTAAGGCATCAGCAAAGGCAGGACATTTTTCTTCAGCCTCTTTGTGGATCACGACAGACACTCGGTTGATAGTGAAGGCAAGAATGGTAACAATGACTGTTTAACACTCACGATGCTTACCAACTAAAGGTTATGGTCCTACATGTATTACTAAATTACCACATTAGCATATGTGATCTTCTGACACCAAGTACTTTGATTGTCTCGTTATATGTAAGAAGACACTGAGGCATAAAATAGTCCATGTAAGTGACTTTCTCAAATTTATATAGATAGAATCTATTGGTCCTGCTGTGAGGTGATTGGCATATATTCCAGTCTTCCAGAGCATCCACCCAGATGAAGGAAATGGGGTGGTGTCTAGTAACCCATCACAATCAAGCAATTTGATGGTGGGAAGGCTGAGACTACATATGGCTGGTTTCCAGTCTGTGATTTTGTGCATGGTTAGCATGTCCTTCTTTTGAACATGAAAACAACAAACAAACAAACAGAAAAACAAGTGTAGGGTTAACTATTTCATTTTTATTTCAATACAGGCTCTGATAATGTTAACCTTGGCAAGTTAAAAACTTGTTTTTGGAAGGTGCTGGGCATTGAAGTTGGGACTGTGCTTCTGCCAGGCAGTACTCTATACTGAGCTACATCCACAGCTCAACTGACCTATTTATTCTCTAAAGATGAAGGAAGGTAGAAGGATATAGATTTTACAAAACAAGGGTTGGCCTCACTTTAGACCTGTACATATGACTAGGGGAGGAAAACAGTCATCTAAACTCAGATAAATGATGCAAAGCCATGAGCATTAAGCCTGCCTAAGCAAGCTTATTGAAGCTATCAAAGGGCAGGATTTCAATACAGCAAGGACTGTTGTTTATCAACAAACTGTAAACTGCAAAGCACATAGCAAGACATAGCCTAGGCCTAGAAAGCAATTACAAGCACCTTTGAGAGTTACAGGATTTAGAATATAAACAAAACGACAATGGTAATGGCTCTAATTTTTATTGATTGGTAAACATGACACTGAGAATGGAAAGGTGGGAAATGTAAAATCATGTGGGGAGTTTCAGAGTGCCAAGAAATAGAGGATGAAGTTGGACTGGCAAGCAGAGGGGAGAGTGCTAAGGGCGAGGACGTTCACCTCATCGGAAGGTGCCCTTGATTAATAATTAGACAATAATAGAAGTAATAAACAATTATATTAAAATTGGCTGGGCTGTTGGGATGGTTCAGCAGGTAATGGCACTTGCTGCTAAGCCTGACAGCCTAAGTTTCAGCCCATTGGAAGGATAAAACTGATTTCTGCAAATTGTCTTCTGACTCCCACATGTGTTTAGTGGTATGTGCTCCTCTCTCCATACAAATAAATAAATAAACAAACAAACAAATAAATAAATAATAGAAATTTAAAGTACATTAATGTTAAAAATGTTTAGTTATGTAAGCTAAGAACTTAAAATGCACGGTAGAAATAATGAACCGCTTGTAGTGATAATAAAGTGTAGATGTTGGGGATGTGAGAAGACTGTGTTTGAGAGCACTTGCTACTGTTCCAGAGGATACACAGCTCACTAGAGTCTGTAACTCCTGCTGTATGGCATCTGCCGTCAGAAACACCTGTACACACACACACACACACACACACACACACACACAGAGGCACACACAGGCACACACATAGACACACACACACACAGGCACACACACAGACACATACACAGACACACACACGCACAGACACACACACACACACAGAGGCACACACACATAGACACACAGACACAGACA